TCAAATGAATACGAATATAGATTCGATGGAATATCGACTTGACAACCAGGATATCGATTTGCATACCATGTACCACCAACATGTGAATGACGTTCTAATACGACAAATTTATCCATACCCAGTTCTTTCAATTTAATACTCATTCCTAAACCCGAAAAACCTGCACCAATAATGATTGCATAATGTTCATCCTCATTGTCACTTGTCCATTCTAATTTCGATCCTTTTTTATCATAACTTCGACCGAATGAATTGAAAATAAGCCAATAAAAAAGATGACCGATAAGACCGAATATTATCGAAATGGTCCACGTAAGATAGCTAATCGCTATTAATGCCCGTAATTGCCATTTAGGCATCAAATCGGTCGACGACATTACTCTTGTATCTCACCGAAAACCAGTCACAAACACAATGATACACACACTCCCTATGTAAAGGAGGACGATTAAAGTGGAAAGATAGATATGCTAAAGTCCACATAAACAACGACTCACGTCACATGTTTCTTTTTTCGTTTCTTTTTTTGCATATGTTATCTTTCACTTGCACAATAAAATTGCACTAGCAAGACATTAGTCATCCTTTCGACATATTCACAGGTAGATATACAAGAATGATATTTTTCTCTTTTCTCTTTTATGCAATGGTATAAAGGGAAAAAATTATCTTTATGTATGATACGTATCTTCTCTGACTAATGTGTCAATCAAACATCTGCTGATGCCATGAATAATCATCAATTTTCTAACATTGTGTTTGCAAAATATGAAAATACAACATATTACACAAAACAGCCTTCTTTCAAACGACATCATTAAAAGTGCATGTAAGCTATTCTTCTAAAACCGTATTATCGCTGTCTCTTAGATTTACAAATTCAAGTCGCGTAACTTCTCCTGAGAGTCTGTACGACCAGATTCAGATTGATATTCTTCCAGCGAAGGTATCCCTGTTCATCGATCTGCCAAGCAGTATCATGCCATTCAGGTGTCATTTATGCGTCGAAGTTATCTTTATTTGTTATATCCGACTTCATTTATCTAATACTCATTCAAAATATTGTAATTGAATTATACATTGTTTTAACAATCTATGTTAATGTTCATTCCATTTGTAAAGACGTAAAACTCTGGAGCAACTATCTCGAGAATAGAACAAGATATAAAAGTCGGATTTTCGCCATTAGAAAGAAGACTCTAGGAGACGAGTGTGGGTGGG